GGGATCATGACCTGAGCTGAAGGCAGCGGCTTAACCGACTGAGCCACCCAGGTGCTCCCCCCACCCCAATTTAAATAGCCAAGCTCCATGGCAGGCAAGTGCCCAGCTTGAATGGCACAGGACGTGAAACTGGATTCGAAGCTGAAGCCCCTCCTCCTCAGGCTGCTCTTTGCTCCCCCAGTCAGTCCCCCAGCTGCTTTCCTTCACAGCACCCAGCACAAGTGTAAGTCCGTCGCTTTTTCATGTGTGTGTTTAATGTGCTAGACTAGAAGCTCCGGGAGAACAGGGACTATCTCCTTGTAGCTCATAACAGTGTCCCCAGGAATTAGCACAGAGCTGGGCACAAAAGAGACACCTGGAAACAGTTTCTGGATGAATGCAGAACTTGAGCTGGGGCTCTGAGAAAGTGTCTGGGTGTCTTTGGGCCTGTTTCCTCATCTTTAAAATGGACTTAATTAATGGGGTCTTCTATATTGCCTCAGGGAGTCGTGATGATCAAATCAATGAAATAGGAGTTTCTGGGTGGCTCAGTTGGTTAAGCGTCGGACTCTTGGTTTCAGCTCAGATCATTATCTCAGGGTCATAAGATCGAGCCCTGCATTGCGCTCTGCGCTCAATGCGGAGTCTGTTTGTCCCTCTCCCTCCTCTCACGCATGCTCTCTCTCTCTTGCAAATAAATAAAATCTTTAAAAACTAAATAAATGAAATAATATACAAAAAAGTTCTCTGAAAAGTATAAAATGAAAGCTGATGTGGGGTGTTGTTGTTTCTGAGGATGTACAGTTCTTGGAACATGAACGAATGTGTGCACGTGGGAAGGTGTGGTAAGGAGGACACGGGTGAGCGGGGGTCTTGTTCTCTGGAAACCACGAGGCTCCCTGAAAACCTAGGACATCGGTGTGCATCACAAGAAGCCTGACCTCTCCCCCTTCCCAAACCACTAGCTCTAAGTGAGGAAAATGGGATGTGCCCCCCAGGGCACAGCCCTGAAGACAGCTTTCTTGGAGGAATTGGTCCTTGGGGGAGGGGAGGGGCCTCAAGGGCCACCTGACAGGGGCATGGTGAGGAATATAATCGTGCTTCAGTGTCACGTTAAACAACTGGGCCACCACCCCACAACTATGACAAATGTGTCTTAGAAGAGTGTGCAACCCGGGTGCCTGGGTGGCTCAGTTGGTTAAGCGACTGCCTTCAGCTCAGGTCATGATCCTGGAGTCCCTGGATCGAGTCCCGCATCGGGCTCCCTGCTCGGCAGGGAGTCTGCTTCTCCCTCTGACCCTCCCCC